CCCACGCCGTAAGTCTTGTAAGAAAACCCAGCTCTCGCCCTCTCCATCCCGCTCTGTCTCGCTCTCACATCGTGGAGAGCCTCGGGAAATGATATCGGGACACGGTGGAAAAAGTTGGTCGCGGCGACACTCGCATTTTTCGCGAATTCTCAAAAGTGCCTTGCCGCCTCCTTGGGAATATCCGGCGATGGAAAAGTACGGGCAAGTGGTGCGCACTCGCCAGAGTAGCACGAGGCGGCGGCAGCGTCGGCGACGGCGTGCGCGGGCGATGAAACTTTTAATAAATGGCAGAGTCGATATGAAGTATAGGACTTTGACATATCGTGTGTCTGTAATGTATAGTTAAATCTCTGGCGGCAGATGTGGCATTTCGCCCCCGCTCTCGTCGTTCGCTGCAGCGTCCCCGAATTTACGTGCGACCTACCCTCCCGTTACCGAGCGAGGCGCTCCGCGTGGTAATCAGAATGAAAATGCACCTTTTTAAAGCAATAGCTAAGGCTAGTGTAGTGTACACTTCAATACTCGATTACTTCCAGGCGTATTAATAATTCGACCATGATTATCGATATATCGCTCGCTTTGCCTTTCCATACGTGCGTAACCCGATTGCTCGCTTAGCAGCTTAAACGAAATAGTTTGCCTATAGATGGATGAGAAAGAAAAAAAATTAGGATACTGGTATTATGAAACCATTTATATGATGTGTCGTATCTTGGTTACAGACATCCTGGAGTTTGAATATTATCGGAAAACACTCATGATCTATTGACCGATACTACTTGTAAGCGGCATAGAAAATAACGCCACGCCAAATGCGACGGAATTCTTAAATGTTCTTAGTCTATGTAAAATGATAACAAATTGAATATTCACAAACAGACAATTTACATTAAAAATATACGGGTTGATGTACCGAAGAGGGAAAATTAATGTTTTAGAAAGCAAGTGACGTTAGTTTTGTCAGAAGTAATATTTTTATCGCTAAACTACTATTATTAATGTTTATCATATTATTGAGTTTGCGATAAATTGCAAACGAAGGTATTAATAATTCGCGTAAAAATATTTGTCATAAATCGTAAAGCCCAAAGATGAAAATATCATTGGTAAATTAAAAATTTGATAATTAACTTGATGCAAACAAATTTTCCATAGGATTGGAATTAAATTGGAAAAATGAACGAACTGAATTTTGATGAAAATTAAATTGAGTAAAATAAAAAAAAAAAAAATACTTTTTAAACATTTTTTTTTAACTTTACATGCATGATTAAGTATGAAAATAATTTTACGTACAAGTTTTAAAGATAAAAAAATCGATTACTAATATGGGAAAAATTGACTAAATATTAAATATAATTTTATATTTTATATAGCATCAGGTTTTATTCCAACATAAATTTTATGTATGATATGAATACATCATTTTCAAAATATTTCGAGTATATATTGTTGTATAAAATGAATATGTGCAGCACGAAATTATACAATATAAAAATAAATACCATGTATAATGTTTATTGAGTGACAAATTTTCTGACTTTGTACGTGTAGATGTAATTTCATAGTATAATATTTGTTTTTAATAATTTTTGTGTTGTAAATTTCATATTAATAAATTCAGAGTAGATAACAAAACTTTAAACTTAAGCCAATAAATTTATAGATAATTTAAACAAGCACCCATACTATAAAATGATATTATTGAAAATTGTAATGGAAAATTAAAAATCGTATAGAAATCGTAAAATGAGATAATAAACATTTCTAGATATTTTATTTATAATGATATAAACTCTGATGTAATATTATGAAAGCAAAATAATAATTCAATAAGAATGAAATTTTATTTATCTATAGTACTTTTATCTTTATTATGAGATTGAATTCAATGAGATTGAATAAGAATTTTTATCACAGATCTACGTACATTAACTGGAAATACATAATTAACATTGTTACTCCGTTAAAGTTTTTTTGTTAATTGAAATTCTATTCGATGTTTAAATAAAATAAACTTTTTTTTTATATATATATTTAGCGACAAATAATAACTAAGAGAAAAAAAGAAGTTTCTTACCATACTGCTATTTAATTGAATTTATTAATCAACTTACTATTTAATCAAGATTTTATTAAATAGTTTACCATTTTCCAAGTTCTTTCAAGTTACTATAAATACCTACCTTAAAAAATGAAATTATAAAAAATTATTTCTTACTATAATGTATTTGTATTCAAATTACATACAAATTCTCTGTTAAATAAGTTTCTGTATAGTAGAAACTTCTTCTATGCAAATTCTTACAGAGAACCTTTCTGTATTATTTTATACTGTTTGTACTTGTAAGTAAGAGAACACCATTACAACTACCTAAACATACATTTCGATAAGAAATATTAAATGTAAATATGTATTATTTAGAATATATATATATATATATATATATATATATATTATAACATGAAATGAAATTTGGTTTGCAGTGAAATTCAGCTTAATTTGTTTTCTCGTAAACTATCAAACATTAATATAACAAGCTGCAACCTATTTTCGGTATAAAATAATTAATTATTATTACACAAAAACATCCTACCGATATGCCAAAGACAATAACACCGATTATATTTAAATAAACGCATCTAAATAAATCTTCGTTAATTTGCAAATTTGAAATGAGAAAGCAAGATATTTTCCACTTTGGGCTTTTTATAATAGAATAAATTGTACTTTTTTCTTAATATATATTCACGGTACAATCAATTATCATCTAGTCTGGCTGCATACTCCGAAATTATATTCAACGTTTTAATATTTACAATAACGTTCTGCACAAATCAATTGTCCTCCATACGATCAACTACAATATGGCATTGCACAATCGTGAACCTCGCTCCACGCGTTTCAAAATGTTTTACCCAATTTAGCGCCTAAGTACATGGGGTTAAGCGAGTGTTCAGTCGCTGTTTAGAAACGAGAATCGCTTCTCCACGAGGGAAGCGTCACGAATGTATTTTTTTTTCGCTCCTCTGGGAGCTCGCGCGATGAACTTTTCAATCAAATCGCCTGTCCAAATGAGAACTTCGCCACAAAGCGGATCAGGGTAATCTGTCATCGAAACCGTTCCGTTGCTTCCATCAGCCTGTCTCCGAAATACACAGCAGCCGGTGCCCGCGAACCTTCACGACCGTTAACGTCCACGTTACCGTCGATTCTGCAACGACATACACACGGCGTAGCGGCTGTTTTAAATGTTAGTTTCAATAGGCGCAAAGAGGAACAAACGCCTCTCTCATTTTCGGAAAAATACAACTTCTCGGGAATTTTGCTTCCTTTAACACAATTACATAGCCAACCCCGTAGACACGATTTTTCCTCGTATAAAAAGCTCGCGTTCCTTCAGCTCGCTCACACTCTTCTCCGACATTCAGCTTTTATTATATTCATTGGTGCCGCGATTATATCGATAACTACGAGCGCCTTTACATCCACAACATGATAAATTTGCCTAAAGTCCCTTAATTGCTTTTTGTCCGCGGCAATAAAAAAATTATCACAAACGAGCTCTTACTCCTTACAACGCTTCCTGCAACTAATTAGTAGCATTGACCGCTGGATTAAGCCTCGCATTTAATTCCATTCCCCTTGGTTATTTAAGCAATAATATGCTCGTGAAATCGTTTGGCCTGCTGTCATTCCATATCATTAGTCCTTCCTTATACACGGACATTTAAATTCTTGATCGATGGCATCCCGCGAACGCGCCAGGCTCGTAGCCAGCAAGCGAACTAATAGACACGGCCGTGCCCAGGACGAACCGGGAATGTCCGAGAGTCAAAATGACGGCCGAATGCTCTCCGCGCAACGACCATCTAATCCTGCCCTCGCGATCGTCAAAGCTCGCGCCCTCATTCCGAGCCCCCACCACCCCACGCTCCCCATTACGAGCAGTCATCCTCGCGGCTAGAGGACGCGAAGGCCGTCCCGGTGTGATGACCTTTCCCAAGTGGCGTCCCCCGCGGCTGCAGCGCTCGCTGCGGGTCTGGGAACCGCGTGGCCTCGCACGTGACAGCCGGCCCCCACCAGTCCTCACCGCACATCGTCCGCTTCGTCACGCCCACACTCCGTTCTTGGGCTAACACTCTCGGCCTCTCTCTCACTCCGCCGTCGCTCCGGCGGATCCTCTCTCCTCCGGGCGAGTCGGGCGCAGCGAGCGCCGCCGCTTGGACGTGCCTCGTATAGGGTCTCGGGTGCGCTCTCGCCCCGACGGGCGCGCGCCGCCTACGTCGGGAGGGCTGAGCCAGGACCGGGCCGGTACCGGGCTCCCATTGGCTCGGGGCCGCGGCTCACGTGACGGCGGGAGCGCGCGCGCTCACCCGGCCGCGGATAGGATCACCTCGGGTTGCTCCCGCGGCGGGAGTCGAGCGCGTCCCGACAGAGACGGCAGTAACGACAGGGACACGAGACACGCAGCGTCGTTGCGGCGAGAGCTCGAGCCTGCGTTCGTGCGTGCGTGCGATCGTACGTGCGTGCGTGCGTGCGCGCGTGCGCGCGCGCGAGGCCACTTAGACCGGGCCGATCGGTGACGGCCAACCGAGAACTTGCATCCTCGTGCGCCATCTTGGCCCGAAGATGAGTGCGACCAGGCAAATGTGTGCGGGGTTCAGCGGCACCCGATTCCTCGTCGGCGGAGTGTCCAGTGATTTGTGCCTGCCAAGCTACCGGCGGGACTGATGACGATAATAATAATGACGATGAGGATGAGACTGCGCTAATGAGATAATCGGAAGCGCTGTCGCGGTCGTGCCGCCAAGTGTAGCTGCTACATATTTGTTGAACGAACTCGTGTGTGAGGGAGGAGGAAATAGAAGCCAAGGTTCGGGCGCGATATCGACAGAGGCGGATATGGTCCCTGGTAGCTCGGCTGCGCCTGCGAGCTAAGTCGAGGACCCGAGCGCGGCGTATATTGAGCAGAGCGGACAAGGATTCGGCAAGTTTGATGCGCGGCATTAACCGGGGCGTCGCGGAGCCACTAACCGTCGGCCTCGACGTCTATCCGCCGCAGCGTCGGTACCGCCACTACGGCAGCTCGGAGTACCGACAGTCCGAGGAGGCCCAGCGGGATAAAGAGGACCGGTTCGTAAAGACGCGGTCCCCAACGCCGCCAGCCGTCCTGGCTAACGACGGCGGCGGCGGATTCTGGCTGGCCTCGGTGGCCGCGGGGGCCGGGGCCGGGGCTGTTTTACCCCCGCACGGGGCCCACCCGGCGGTCATGGACGTCGGGACGCCCGGCCTCGGCTCGACCGAGACTGGCTTCATCAACAGCCAGCCGTCCATGGCCGAGTTCATGACGGCTCTACCTCAAATGGGCGGGACCGAGGGCCCAATACAGCATTCGCCCGGGGCCACGGGCAGACCGATGAGCCCTGCCGCCCATCATCCGGGATACCACGGGATGATAGACCCGCACGCGGTCCAGGACGGCTCGGGGGTCAACGTGCCCGAGTATCCGTGGATGAAGGAGAAGAAGACTACGAGGAAAAGTAGTCAGCAAGGTAAGGAGACGTCCGCCTCGCGTATCTCTATCCTAACCGATTCATACCCCCCCCCCCAATATTCCTTCCTCGCTTTCCTCGCCTCATCACTTCGTTTGAGCTCAAGTGACCTGGAAATACCGCACTTCGAAATCTTCTTCGTGCTGTCCACCTGAAGCGTTTCATTAACTTTGTATAACATTACGTTATTTGAGACCAATTTGACCATACCCCTTGGTTCATATCAGTACTGCATTAGTCGTTCAACATTATTATTTTTAGGGAGAAGATTGTGATAGGAAGTAACTGTTTAGGTGAAATTAGCAATAAGTTCAATCCACAAGATTCATGGAGTATGACTCGAATAATGAAAAAAATTTTTATTCGTTTAAAACCAAAAAAAAGTAGATATGCATATACAGATATGTGTGTATGTATGTATAAAGTACAGGTAGATTGTACGGTGGCTCTCAACTACTTAATAGGTAAAGCACAAATTTTTATAATAAAATTCATTACCAATCGAATAATAAAATATTCTAACTCGAATATTCATGCATAGATTCTTCGCAACAAAAGCCTCAACATTTTCATTATCTATTTCGCATTGCACAATTTTTACATAGAACTTTTCGAATTTTCTTATATTTGAGATTTTAAATATTCCTATAAACATTGCCATTTCATTATTAACGATAAAGTGAATCTTACACTTTTCGTGAGCATTGACGAAACGGAATGGTAAAATTCTGGCTGGTTTATTCGAATATTAAAGTAAATGATTTTATGCGAGTAAAGCCAGTAAATTTACTGGAATCTCCAGCTAGTTCTTAAATATTATTTTAATAATTAAGATGCATGGTACTTTACAAGTAATTTTTCTAAAAAAATTATTAATATTAGGGTCGTTAAAAATACGAAAGTTAATTTTATTAAAGAATAAAAGTTTCGCATTCTCATAGGGCTACAACCAGTGATTTATTAATGTACCGATCATTAAAATGTACAAAATCCCGCCAAAAGTCACTTTAGTCAAGAAATATCTTACGAGATAGAATAATGTGAATATTACAGTACCTACGGATTACTATTAGGTTAATGCGATTAAAGCTACTTGACGTTATTAGACCAGTGCATAGTACATACTAAAATAAGCCCACATTCTCGTTTCGTTTGCAATCTTACTACATCCCAGGCTTTGAAATACCTGATCCAATAAAAGAATCAAAATTATGCTCAATCAATCGCATCTATTTAATTAGTAGAAGAGTGAAAAACAAAACTAGGTAGACTAGTGTTTTACAATATTTGCTTATATGATCCTATGATTCCTTATAGTAGCAATAAATAGTTAAAAAGACGCGTACAAGAGGTAGAATAATTTTCCAATGATCAGGTATAAATGCAATAATTCTCAAACCAATGTCACAATGTCTATAAATTAAATGCTCATATTAGAACATTATTTTAAAAAGTCGTATGAAAAAAAGTTTGCAAAGTACATAGTATAGAAAAAAAAACTAAATCAATGTAAGCTCGCCTAGAAGTACGAATGCGAATGTCCGTTTACAAAAGGCTTTCGCTCACGTGTCCAAGTATAATAAGGAGAAAATTTATAAGAGGTAAGGAAATTGGCATTATTGAGCCAATTGTTATCAGAAGCCCCGATGGCTCTTCACGATGGCTTCATTAAGGACATTAGGTGTCTCACAATACTGTCTCACCACCATATTGTAGTCCTGCGTCGGGTGACCAACGATTTTCAACGACTAATGACAATTCACTGCCACTCCTAGCTCTCTCTTTCTCTCTCTCTCTCTCTCTCTCTCTCTCTCTGTGTCTCTCTCTCTGTGTGTCTCTCTCTCTCTCTCTCTCTGTGTCTTTCCATCCACTCGCCTATCTCGCCTATCCCTCTGTTTCTATCGCACTTTAAACTTGACACATCTGCAGTACATTTCCCTCGTATGGCCGGCTGCCGGAAAACCACACATTTCCTCCGGCATTTGCAAACACGGTGGGGGCGCACACTCTATAAACGTCCTCGAGAAAGAGTTCATAAAAGTCGCATGAAGCGTTGAAACCACGTACACGGACACGCAAATTATACCCTCTCCCAATCCTCCTGCCTCTGCCGGACGCATCATATCGCTCTTCGGACATGATGTGCCGTGAAAATCGACTAGTGGAAGATGAAAAGATGGCGAGCACATGGCGCTCTTTCCTGAGGCGGAAAATGCCTCTTTGGGCAAAACCGACACAACAGCCGTCGGATGAGTTATTGTCGTGTGCCACGGCGGTCAGAACTCATCAAGCTTCCTACGACGAATTACGGAATTTTCACTAACGTTTCGCGCGGACGAGAGGTTTCCGAGAGGCGGAGGAGTTGTCGCGCGAACACCGAATTCGCCGGCGACATAAAATGTTTCTTGAGACATGCTTTACGATGTCATTGGTAAAGTTCCGAGCTTCTTTTATTCATAAGGAGCATATTATTTGTATATGAATGTGCCGGGACAATTACTTTATGAATACGAATGCGATCCTTCCCAATACTTATTATTAGTTACAGAAAATTCTATTTTTAACTACTTCAACGATCAACGATTACATCTGATTTACAAAAATGGATCAATTCTCTATTTGATGCTCTACTTATTTTACTTGATAATACATTAAATATTATGTATGAATTGTTATATCAGTAATATTGATAGATTTCCATTAAATCTCGTTGAAATGAAGAAATTCAATAATTTTACTTTATTAATAATATTAATAATAACGAGGCTTTATTAAACTGATCTTACATATCAAATTTGCCTTCCACTTAGTATTATATATAAGCACTCATATTGCTATAGTGATTATAGTAATTTTTTCTAAAAAATGAGATTAACCTTATTGAAAAATAAAATAAAGAGTTTCATTGGAATAACTTGGTACAACTATATCTATAAAATTTATAATAATTACAATAAACATCGTTTTATTTCGTAAGCATGATATAAATAAATTGAAGTTTGTAATCACTTTGCACAACTGTAAAATTAAAAACAAAGATAATAAAATACGCGGTAAAAAATTTGTTTTATATAAATTTTCAAGTCTCTTGCCGAATTTTTATAAAATAAAAATATAAATTTTCAAATGAAAACATTAATGTTAGTATTATTTCTGTTAAAGTCAAAATCATTATACAAACTTTTATGACACTGTTACTGTTACGATACAATAGCAATGTAAATAATGAATTGAACAAGCATTAACGAGTTTTATTGATAACGAGGTGATCCGTCGCGAAAACCCAATCTACTGTATCGAACTCCCAATCTAGTTAATGCGCGAGGTTTTCTCAAAATTTTTCTAATTTTTTGCAAAATTAATTATTAATCACGAAAATTATAATTGGACTACAATGTGCCAATCAACAATGCTAATTGGAGTTTAGTTATTTTCCGAATGCAGTTAAATTCGTCATTAGATAAACAAATTTCCAAATAATATTAAGTATTAAATATTTAATACATTCTCGTATTTACAATTATACATATAATATTACAAATATCGAATAATTTAAAGTTTAATCGCTGCTAAAGAGATTTTGTACATAATAATATATTTAATTATTTAATAATTTATCTAATGCTTTTCATTCATTTAAATATTAATTTTTTTAACGCGCACACACACACACACACACACACATATATATATATAAACGAATTATTTAACCGTTACTTTCGTTAAATTCATCTATTTAAACATTAAACAGTTATATTTTATTAGAAATTTATAACTTAATTTGTATTAGGAAACAAGATTTCTCGAAATATCGATTTAAAATAATATATATTTCTTACAAAGTTTGTAAATTATAATTTATTTATGTTTTGTAGAGGAAAACGTAATCTAAAAAGGAACGTATTATTCAAGATTTTAATCTCAATTTTTTTTCAAACTAAGTAAAATCCAATTATTGTAAATTGATATTTTTTAGTTAATAAATGAATTTAATTCATATATTAAAACGGGAGTTTAAATTCTTTCATTTTTCGTTAATTCTAAGTAGAAGAGATATTATTACAAGAATAACCCGTTAAGGCCTGAAGTAAGTGCATACTAACGATAAACTATGGTGTTATAAAAATACGGTATGATAAAAATTTTACAGTTACGATGTGTATATACCATATATGGAAAATATATGGATTATATAATAATCTTTGTTCTATTGGATACAATTTTTCACGACTGTGATTCAAATAATAAAAATACTTTATAAGGAAGTAGCTTTCATTTTACAACTCCGTACAAAGCTGTTGAATATTCTAATAAACGATTTACTTTTATTTCATTACTCGTCTTCATTTTCACTTGGATGAAATATTTGATAATTATAACTTGACTTTTTTACATTTATATTAATTAAAACATTTTTCGGAAAAACCAAGTTTTATTTCGTAATGAAGATATACAATTCCGACAAATTAATCCAAATTGCTATATGAATCAAACAAATAATATTAATTTTCTTTAATTAACTGACTTATCTATTCATTAATTATTTTAAAAATCTTTTCAATAAAAGAATATAAACATGAACATCGGTGATTGGTGTACTCGTTAGCGGTTAATAAACCAACAGAATACAATAATATTGATCATTTCCAAATATAAGCCATGATTATCAATCAAAATATTATGACCCTGTACATTTGATGATAGGCTGGATTACATATTATATTGATTTGAAAATGCATTTTAAGTAATTTTAAAAGATTAAGAATATATGCGTCTAGCAAATGAAATTAAAAATATTTTTTATAAATCTAAATATATATGTCAATTTTATCTAGAAACGAGGAAACTTTATATAAAATATGAAATTTAAATAATTCATTTATCATTATCTAACCTAAATCTACTTATAATATAATTATCTAAATAGTTTTGATTTTTATAGCAATTCACTTGGATGTATTTGATAGAGTCAAACTTTTATAATTATTAATTATAACAAT